CATTTTGCCTGACAGCTCGTCTTGCCTGATAGCCTGTCTGCCTGTTAAGCCTTAATATTATTTAAAAACATAGTCTTGCTCACTTGGTACTCTGTGCACACATTTCTCCTTACTCTGCTTTCCACCTTTCACCTCAAAGATTATCAATGAATGGTGTCTCTTAGGCTTCCTGTTTGTAGAAGATATCACTGACAAATTACCTGCATTTGCAGCAGACACTGTGCACAGATGTTAAAAATTTTGTCGATATATCCTAGAAAATCACAGGAATCACAACAACTAACAAAAACAAATATTGTGATGCCTCGTCACCTCTCAATCTTGCCACTTACCCATTAGTTTTATTCAGACAATCCCAACACTAGAAACTGACATATCTAAATACACATAAGTGGTGTCTGGAAGGCATGTGGCTGTATGTATCTCATTAGGCCATTGTGTCTAGGAGCTTTCTGGTGCATAGTTCAGACTCCTTGGGAGTGTAGCCTAGATACCTCCAGGTGCTCAGCCCAGGAATCAGAGGTGGGAACTCGGTCTGGGATGAACTTGGCATTCAGCCCTGGAACTGTCAAACCCATCAGCCACTGGGCATACAGCTCACTGTGTGTCCAGTGGTTGGTGTCACTGGGCACACAGCAGGAAGCCCAGGACAATAATTTGCCACCAAAGCAGAGAAGCATAGCTGCCCCTGACAAAACTACAGTGCAATTTTTTCATACACACGTCCAACTGTACACACAAATCAGTAAGCCTAATGCACTGGGGTACAATTGAGGGACAAGCACAGTAATATTTTTTTTTATCTTTTAAACAGTAACTTACATGATAAGTATAATCAATACAATCTTGACATTACACCATTCCATAAAAACTCTCTATATGCTTGAACATAAAAATATAATCATCTTGAGAGAGATTTTACGATTCAAAAAGAACTGCAAGATTTAAACTCATTACCATTATAATGTGCGAACACTAATTACTACCTTCATAAAATATAAGTTCATTACCTGAGGATCTGCAGTACAGTACTGAAGGGCAGTGCAGTAATGCAAGGTGAGTAGGGCCAGAGCCTGAGTTCGAGCATCACACTGAGAGATTTGAAGTGCAACACTGGCTCTAGTCAGAGCATCGCCTGCTTCACTGGCATCTCTCTCTTGTCGTGCCAAATCCACTCGAACTTCTCCTTCACTGTCAATTGTAGTTTGTAGGTGTGCCAACTTCACAGAAAAGAAAAGTAAATAAATAACACAAGATTTCTCAACCTGTCCTCAAGAGGTATATACTGTACCTGTTGATGGTAATCACATAAAAAATATATGCAATTAGTACTATCATCTACTCCCTATCCATGGTTAGGTGAAGGTTAGGTTAAAACAGTGTATTATTTTCAAACACATGAAATATGAGATTTAAAAACTGAGTACCCCCTCAAATTTGACATGAGAAAATGGCCTTAGGGATTATCAAAGAAGCAAGTATACCACAGCCTATTTCTATTTCAAACCCTGGATTTATAATGCAATACAGTTATAATTTGAGAATATTCTCTGTTTAGGCCAAAGGTTCACTTACCAATTCACAAATATACTATATTTGAGCCTAATTAAGCCTTCAGCATCATAAATATCAAGATAAATATTCAGGTGTTTAACCAGGGCATCTGACCGTTAATTAGAATCTCTTCAGCTTGAGAATTGACCGAGATGAATCACGAGAAAATTCTTAAAACTAAGTATTAAACCTATAATTTTGCAAACATTATTTAGTCACAGACTTAACCCTTAACCACTGGATGCGCCAGCCGAGAAAACTCGGTCGATGAGAAACTGCGCGAGCTGAGAAAACACGTTTTTAATATTTCGTACCCATTCAAAACAAACGCACGGTAGGCTATCTTGAGGTTATCTTGAGATGATTTCGGGGCTTTAGTGTCCCCGCGGCTCCACCCCCAGGAAGCAGCCAGTGACAGCTGACTAACACCCAGGTACCTATTTTACTGATAGGTAACAGGGGCATAAGGTGAAAGAAACTCTGCCCATTGTTTCTCGCCGGCGCCCAGGATCGAACCCGGGACCACAGGATCACCAGTCCAGTGTGCTGTTCGCTCGGCCGACCGGCTCCCTCACCTCCCTCCCTCCCGGCTGTAGTATGAAATGGACTCTAGGAACCGCCAGTGAGAGGCAGCCATCTTGGAAAAAATCCCAGAATGTCCTAGGACTGCTGGCTAGCTTAGTACCGAGTGAGCAACAATGGGTGGCACACGTACCTCTGGCTACCAAACACCTGTCTAACTTGGTGTTGAAACATTGCTCTCTGTCGGTGAATTTCAGACCTAATTGTTTGAAGAACATAAGGGTCATGATATTGATGAAGCTAGTCACAATAAGGACCTAGCACAAGGGTCAGATGCAAGTAATACAGCACTGATGAGGACGATACAACGAGCGTATCCAGTAGTAGCTGAGTGCCACCCATACTAACCTATGTTATCTCCAATTTTTATAGATAATACATAGATGAATCATTTTCTGGGTTCAGTGATGATGCATCTGATACAAGTAGCATAGATGAGTAGTGTTAGTGGCTTCCATGGTGGTGTTTTCCAAAGATCTCTTCAAGAATAGCTGAATCTCTTCCAGAATGGCTGAATCTCTTCCAGAATGGCTGAATCTCTTCCATAATGGCTGAATCTCTTCCAGAATACCTTACAAAGTGATCTTTTCAAGACTACCTTATAATTTGATCTTTTCCTATAATCTTTTTAAGACTATCTTACACTTCACAAGCTTGGCTACACACCACCTACAGGTACTAAAGCCAATGTTGGACGTGAGTGCATTATTTGCAAGCACAGAGAACGAAAAAACAAAAAGCAAAATTCGGTTTGTACCTGGTGCATCAAGAGCGAAGTCGCGCTGTGTACCGTGATTATTACTGCTTCATTGATTATTACTCTCTTCTGAAGTATTGGGTGTGTAATACAGTGTGTTACTGTGTAAATAGTGTGTGAAACTGTACATATTGTAATTTTAGTGAATTTTGAACAAGTAATATTGTGACAATAAACATTTATTTTGGACTCATTACTGACACATGTACCACAGTTCTATGGAACACTATGAACATTCTACTGTATACATATTTTAACACTTTCCCACACCGATGTCGCGAGCGTCGTCATCCATTTTTCTCCCTATTGTGAATAGATGACAATCCTTGCATCATCCATTAAAATATTTGTAAAAAAAAACAACGTTGAATGTAATGAAACGCCATTTTCTGGGTGAGCCCCGGAGGCTCCCTGGAGCTTATTGGGCTAATGTATGTTATATTAGACTGGGACATTAGCTAAGGAGTTCAGACCTACCAGGGGCCAGTGCCAGAACCTGGCCCCTTCAGAGAGGTTTCAGGGAGCAATGGCCCTGAAAAATCCTTGTGGTTGGGGGGTTTCCTTATCTACCATCGACCGGGGTTAGGCATCCAGAAAGGTAGGCATGACTCCGGGTCACAAGAACAAGGACCCAACAGGCAGCATGGCGGAGGCACAACCGGTGAGTGTCACCCTGAGACAAGGGGATAGATCAACCGTCAACTCGCAGGACGCGAGGGGGACTCTGGGGACACACCTAGAGGACCACGGAGCCCCCGTGGGGTTTCCCAGGGCCCTTAGCCTTTGATACACGCTAAGGGAAGCCCAGGCAGGGTATCGCGAACCGGCGCCCAAATCAATCAACAAACTGCTAAAGCTGAACCCCCGGGACATGTCCACTCACAGGGGCCAAGCAGGGAGTACCGCTAACAGAAGAATTCGAAAGAAATTCACCTACAACAGGAAAGGGGACCATAGTAAAGGCAGACCCCCCACCAGGCAAAAACAAAAGAAAAAGCCCGCAAGAGGACAACGTACCCAGGCGGAACAGAGCCGGCCGCTGTTAATGGTGAAAACTAGCTGTGCAGTACCCCGCGCCCCTACCAGTGAAGAAAACTACCACCTACCCAGAGACAAACCAGGGCAACAAAACCCCAGCCGACTCCAAGGGCAGCCCAGTACCGAGCAGTAAAGGACACAGCGGAGGTAGAACCCAAGGTGACTAAGCCCCAAAGGCAGTACTTACAGGGCACCTAGGGAAGATAGCCCTAGGCACATGCAACCCGAGTACCGTGGAATCTTACTCCTGACTCACACCCCACTGGTAGAGACAGTCCACACCACAAGGCACAGAACTGAAACAAAAACCGGAGTCAGAGGCACTCGACCAGCCAGTAATACCATCAGCCAAGAACTGCCAGTTGGATCGCCGGCGTAGAGGGTCTGGGGCTCCCCCTTCCCCCTCTCGGGGAGGGGGGGTGTTGTGCAGACAGTGGTACTGCGACGTGATCACGTCATGCTAGTTTGATAATTTTGTTTGGGGAGTTCTGTCCACTCATTCGGCTTTCGGTAGCAATAATTTCACCAGAATAGGGGTTTGTTTTGGGGCGCCTACCTTTCTGGGTGCTTGTCCCGGTCGATGGCAGACATAGAATGCTCCCAATCACAAGGGGGTTTCTATAGGCCATTGCTCCTCGTGCCTCTCTGAGGGGGCCAGGTTCTGGCTCGTGGTCCCCGGTAGGCAAGAACTCCTAGCACTTTGACTGATGCCAGAAAGTTATACATATCCATTCAGCCTGGATAGCTCCGGGGAGCCGACGGGGCTCCCCCCAGAAAAAAACCAGCGTTGAATGTAATGAAACGCCATTTTCTGGGTGAGTCCGGGAGGCTCCCCGGAGCTATCCCAGGCTGATATGCTAATGTCAGACTTTGGCATCAGTCATGTGTATGGAGTTCTTAGGCCTACCGGGGACCACGGCCAGAACCGGGCCCCCTCAGAGAGGCAAGGGGAGCAATGGCCTATAGAAGCCCCCGTGTAGTTGGAAGCATTCTATGTCTGCCATCGACCGGAACAGGCACCCAGAAAGGTAAGCGCCCCAAAACAAACCCCTATTCTGGTTAAAATTGCTACCTAATACCGAACTAGTGGATAGAACTCCCCAACCGAAAACAAGCAAATTAGTGTGACGTCACACACTGCCGCGCCGCTGTCTGCGCAGCTCCCCCCTCCCCGGGAGGGGGAAGGGGGAGCCCCAGACCCCCCGCGCCGGCTACCCACACCTCAGTTCTTGAGGCTGGATGTCAAAAACGCGAAAAACCGCCGACCGGAGGGAGGGAGGGATGCCGGGGAGCCTCCGGGACTCACCCAGAAAATGGCGTTTCATTACATTCAACGCTGGTTTTCTGGGGGGAGCCCCGTCGGCTCCCCGGAGCTAACTACCCACAGACAGAAAAAGAGGGACTTACCCGGGAGGCGGTCGTCGCTCACCCCTCAACTCGAAGCCGAGACAACTGGCTGCAACCGCCGACCCAAAGCAACACAGGCCCGACGAGGGCCAGGGACATTCACAAGGTAACGAGCAGCCAGGACCCTGTTCGACCGCCAAAATCCCCGCGCCCGAATATCAGACCAAGACATATTCCCAAAGACGGCAGCAAGAGCCGCGAACTTACGAACGTCATGGGCACGGGGATAGACCGCAGGCTGGCTAGACCTAATAACCCTGCGGACGACCTGAGAGACCCGAACCCGCGAACAGGGAAGAAGGGAAACCGGATCAACCCACAGCGCGTCCCCGGACACAGAAGCTGTGGCGCGCAAATAACGGCGAAGCGCCGCAACCGGACACAAAACATGATGCACCCCCGGCCTGACCAACCAAGCATCAACCACCCATGGACCCCTCCGGAACGCAGCAGTCTCATTCTTCGCCAGAAAAGAAGGAGACGGCTGCAAACGAACAAAACTATCACCACGACCAAAAGAGCAGAAACCCCTGCGCCGGAGGAGAGCATGAAGCTCCCCTACCCGACCCCCAGAGGCCAAAGCCAACAAGAAAAGTGCCTTGGAAAAACAATCCTGGACCGAAGGGGCCACAACGAAACGAGGAGATGAAAGGAAAGCGAGCACTCTGTCCAAAGACCAGGACGGCTCAGGCGACGCATGAGCAGGCCGGAGGTGAAACAATGCACGAGACAGCTTGCGAAACGGCGCAGACGTAACATCGATACCGAAAGCAAGCTGAAGCGGCTCCGCCAGCGCCGCACGATACGAAGCGACAGTGTTAGGCATAAGATGACGGTCCTGAAACAACCACGAGAGGAAGGACAAGACCACCCGAACAGACA